GAGCAAATAGCTTCACTAGAGGACTGACCTACAGACTGACTTTTTTCTTATTATTTAATACTAGCTTTTACCCGCGGCTCCGCTCGCGTCACAAAAGAATAAAAAGTAGCCTATGTGACATATACCAATACACACAGCGCCATCTATACCAATACTTTTGTTTTTCCTCGGGAATATAAATTTTTTCCGGGTTAAAAAGTACCCTATAATTTAATCCGGACTTCTAACTTTACGTCTGCAAAAATTCAAAGCAATCGGTTGAGTAGTTACGGCGTGAAAGTGGAACAAACAAACAAACAAACTCACTTTCAGATTTATAATATTTATAAATATTTTGTTGTTGACGTTCAAAAGTGCCTTCCTGGTCTAATTGAAATAAATGATTTTGACTTTGACTTCTACTTTGAGTACATAACATTTTTTGTTTCAATTTTCCAAAATAAAATTAATATATATAATTAAAAAATAGGTTACTCCTTGGTACATCAGCTACCTGCCAATAAAAGTCTTGCGAAACCGTCCAACTGTGTTATTTGTATCGTATGTATATTCATATGTACAATATAACAACAGCATAATATCACGCCTTTTATCCCCGGAGCGGTAGGCATTTTTTTAAGGGGGGAAAATCATCGAATGACTGCTCCCACCTGGGTGAGGCGGGAGGGAGTGTCAGACTCTTACTGACTAATAACCACCCCGACCCGTTAGGTTCTCCGCGACTCCGAATCGGCATCGGCCCTGTTGGGCCCCATCTGTGGTGGTCTGATGGCTTTTTGAGGCGCGCGCGGAACGCTCGGCGCCGTACGCTCGGGTCTGTTTTTGATCGGACGGGGAGCTACCCATGCTCGCCGTCCGCAGGCCCGCGGAGCGGTAGGCATAGGTGCAAATTACGGCACTTAATACCACTGTACATTGTAACACCCACTTTTCACTATTTATGTTATGAGTCCCATGTAATAGGGGGTGAGCCAATTGCCATATACCGGGCACATTTCCAGACTCCGTGCTACTACTGAGATTTTTTGAAAAAACCTAGTACTTAATACTTTGTCCGACCCGGGAATCGAACCCGTGACACATTGCCCGGCAGTTGCACTTGCGACTACTCGCCCAACGTTATTGTTGGATTAAAAAAAAATACATATTATCACGCTATCATCTACGGGGAAGGAGCTGTGAATCACAATTCCACGCGAACGAAGTCGTGGGCAACAGTTAGTACCTAAATACAATTGGACAATCCTAGAACCTCCTCCTTTTTGAAATCTGTTAATAAATGATACAATACGAACCTCTTCTGCAGGAAGAAAGCTTCCATCTGCCTGGCCAGGTCAATGAACCGTTCGACTTCCACCTTCACCTCTTCCTTCTCCACGCACGGAGACGCCTCCTGCTTCGTCAGCACGTTCAGACATGCCTGCATGTATTATACAGTCATGATTATTATAACAACGTAACACCCACTTTTCACTATTTATGAGTTCCATGTAATAGGGGGTGAGCCTATTGCCATATACCGGGCACAATAGGCGTGTCGACAGGGTAAAAAAATCATTGAATTACTTCTCCCGCCCGGGTGAGGCGGAAGGGAGTGTCAGACTCTTACTGACTAAAAACCACCCCGTTCCTTCTCCTGCACTGCCAATTGCCATATACCGGGCACATTTCCAGACTCCGTGCTACTACTGAGATTTTTTGAAAAAACCTAGTACTTAATACTTTGTCCGACCCGGGAATCGAACCCGTGACACATTGCCCGGCAGTTGCACTTGCGACTACTCGCCCAACGTTATTGTTGGATTAAAAAAAAATACATATTATCACGCTATCATCTACGGGGAAGGAGCTGTGAATCACAATTCCACGCGAACGAAGTCGTGGGCAACAGTTAGTACCTAAATACAATTGGACAATCCTAGAACCTCCTCCTTTTTGAAATCTGTTAATAAATGATACAATACGAACCTCTTCTGCAGGAAGAAAGCTTCCATCTGCCTGGCCAGGTCAATGAACCGTTCGACTTCCACCTTCACCTCTTCCTTCTCCACGCACGGAGACGCCTCCTGCTTCGTCAGCACGTTCAGACATGCCTGCATGTATTATACAGTCATGATTATTATAACAACGTAACACCCACTTTTCACTATTTATGAGTTCCATGTAATAGGGGGTGAGCCTATTGCCATATACCGGGCACAATAGGCGTGTCGACAGGGTAAAAAAATCATTGAATTACTTCTCCCGCCCGGGTGAGGCGGAAGGGAGTGTCAGACTCTTACTGACTAAAAACCACCCCGTTCCTTCTCCTGCACGTCGGGCTCAGCCCCGGTTACCCGTTAGGTTCTCCGCGACTCATTTTATAGGGTAGCGTGGCGTAACGACCTCTCACTCCTAAACTTAACTCCGTTTTATCTAAGTATTGTTTTCTTATACGAGAAAATAAAAACGTACGTGTCTAATATTTTTTCATTACCTAACTGACGGACTAATTACATTTTTAATTTTCATACACTGTCTACCACATTATAATTACGACACAAAAACTTGATAAATATCTGCTAACTGCTAATTAATGAGTTTAAGTACTTAACATGATTGACTATAAGTAATTTTGTTAATTTCATCATGCAATTTAAAATTATGACCAGTTCTAATAACATATACGACTGTGTGTATGAAGAAGTCGTGTGACGACGCCAGAGTAGAATATACTTTTACACCACCACTACTCTTCCCACGGGTATCATATACCCGACTAACGCTATGTCCTGCGTGAGCGATCTAGAAGCGGTGCGGCGTAAAAACAAAAAACTATCGATACCTATTGAAGTGTCCTATGTGACAATAGGCATATGTGAGTTATAAGTAATTTTGGTTAATTTCGTCATGTAATTTAAATTATACCCAGTTCTAAGAACAAATACGACTGTGTATGAAGCCGTGTGATGACGCCAGAGTAGAACACATTTTTTCACCACCTTTACTCTTCCCGCGGGTATCATATACCCGACTAACGCTACGTCCTGCGTGAGTGATCTAGAAGCGAATGCGAATACGCGGTGCGGCGTAAAAAAAAACTATCGAAACCTATTGAAGTGTCCTATGTGACAATATTATACGCCCGTGTGTGTGCGGACCGACGCGACCACAGATATAATAAAGAATTTTTTAATATTTCTGTGGACGCGAAATTATGCCACTGTTTATTGTGATTATGCGGACGCGACGCGATCAGTTGGTCTGATATTTTCGCGCGAACTTTCATATTTGAATGCGGTGTTGTCATGTTTTTTGATTGGTTATAATGACAGAAACGAAAACGAAGCGAAACGATTCGCTTGCACGTACGCCATTTTTTTTTTTAAGGGAGGAAAACCATCGAATGACTGCTCCCGCCTGGGTAACCAGTTGTTGTACAACGTGACACGGATTTGATTCCGCACGGAACAATTTTTTGTGTGATCCACAAATTATTGTTTCGGGTCTGGGTGTGATGTGTATGTGAACTTGTATGTTTGTAAATGCACCTTCGCACCCACGGGCACTGAAACCGCTGGCAGAACCTAGATGTTCTATTTTATCAATAGGTCGAACACTTTTCATAAAAATCAGCAGTTGTTGGAGAAAGGAATTGATTCAAGAAAACAAAAAATGATTTAAAACAATATATTTCCATCATAGAATGAATGTTACAGAATCGCTTTGCGCTATCTTAAAGTAACTTGAAATAAAATTTTCACTTCCTTTTTAATTCTGTCAATTGTAAAAAAAATCTCTTATTTTTAAATTAATACTAATTACGACTAAAATAAAGCTGAAAAGGCAAGTTATACGTCATTTTTTTTTATTTTCGAAATGTTTTTTGCGAGTACCATCGGTACATCCGACATTGTTTGCCGATTTTAATTGAAAATCTTTGAATTCATGCCGACTTTTGCATGACATGCGTTTCTGTCAAAAATCTAGATCTGTACGGTAATGTTAATGTATTTCTTTTTACCTCAATTTCGAATCGAAATCTATATACCTCTTATTTCTTTCTAATACCATTGTATATTATCCTGTTTTATACATACAAATAAATAAATTTTTACATCTTTGACGTATAACTCGCCAACTACATAACTAAAGGTACTAGATACACATCAAATGGACACCCGAGAAATACAAACGAAACCCTCCTCTTGGCGCAGTCGGGTAAAAACAGGCGCATCACAAAACCTTTAAAATATAATCCCGTTTTGAAAAAACATTGTTGACATAAAACTCAATTATATAATTACTAAAATCACGTAAATTTGTTCGAAATAATTACCGATCATGATTCAAAACTTTGCTGACTATTTTAGACATTATATCGATCCAGACATTTTCAATTAAAATCGGTAATTTATTTCGGCGATTACACTAGCCACGATTCTAGACATTAAGTCACAATTTTCAAACTATTAAAGCCGATTCATTATTTATGGAGACAATAGTTACTACATTTAATATAATTTATACAAACTTAAAAGAGAAACATTGTGATATTTAATGAAACGCTTATAATCAGTCGTCATACTGGCTAATAGAAATTTACAATTACAGTGTTCTAAAGAATTTAATTTTTAAGATAAATAAATTATTCTAGTATAATTAGTAAGATATCGTCAATTCTAGTTTAAGTATACATCGTGATAAAACCCCAATTATTCCTGAAAATAATGCTAATGTAATCCATTTTTTGTATGCTAGATACTCAGAATTTTAAAGGGAAAATTCTTAATAATATTTGCGCGATTCTAGTTAGACATATTTCCAAAAACCCGATCAATACAGTATAAATATTTTTACATTATAACAAGCATTGGGTCATCATAATTTATCCCCGAAGGGGTAGGCAGAGGTGCACATTGCGACACTTAATGCCACTGTGCAATGTAACACCCACTTTTCACTATTTATGTTATAAGTCCCATGTAATAGGGGGTGAGCCTTTTGCCATATACCGGGCACAATTCCAGACTCCGTGCTAGCACTGAGATTTTTTTTTAATACCCAGTAATATTTCGCACTTGCAACCACTCGGCAAATGAGGCATTGCGTCTTCCGGGTGAAATAATTATTTCGGAAAATGTCTAACCACTAATTTAATTATGTATTAAGGTAATGAATAAAAGGTATAAAACGTGTTTACTTAAATTAGATCAAACGATATCATTTTATATAATTAACGTCTCAATTTGCAGTGTTCAGAAACTTTAAATTACCTATTTATTGCTGCTTTTTACTAATAATTATTTAATTATAATATTAATACATATTTATTATATATACCTCTGTGTAATTGCATTATAATTATGAATCAATTGCATTTTACGAGATTTGATTGAAATACAAGAATAGCTAGGAAAATATAGATATTATATAATAATATTGTGTAGATAAAAACAAATATTATACATTGCTATCGGTACAAACATTAACACTATGTAACATGTGCAGATTCTATGAGAATAAAGAGAAATATTCCCCATTTAAGTACCTATCACCACCTTCGGAAGCGAAAAGGCTTCGAAACATTGCAGAACTGAGACACGCTATTACCTAAGACCTAACTAGAAAAATACTGTTTATTTCTGATAACCGTATTGCCATGGCGACTGGTACGGACTCCTAAAGTAATTATTTGTCATTTGGGAGTACATGGGAGGCGTGGGGGAATTAGGCATATGAGAATTGGCCATATGGGGACTGGGCATAGGATTCTGCTGGTACAGATCTGGTCTCCATTGACTTCTGTCGGCTGGAGGCTGTAACCTTTGCATACCAGGTCCGGTGTACGTCCTATAGTCTAGAGGTGAGTTAACGAATATTGAATCGTTATATTGTCCGACCGGCATTGACCATTCATGTTCTCTTTGCGGCACTGGAGGAGACTCAACGCTCTCAACAATTACTTTAGTATTTGGCGGTGACGCTTTCAGCGTGGGTCTCCGCGGTACGGACGGTCTATGAGGGTGGGGCGGAGATTCGGTCTTCTTGGTCATAAATTTATGGAACTCCCCTTCAAACGCGCTAGGATTCTTATTTAACGGTGGTACAACTTTCGGGACCCGTAAACTGGGGTCTAAAAGTATTGCGGAATAGGTCTTTTCAGGTTTTGGCCCAGGAGTAACAGGTTTTGGTGGTGATAGTGACTTAGATGGAGAAGGGAGTGTCATGTCCGTCATTTGGTAGGGAGGCTTCGTGACTGTCGCCGGTTTGTAGGACTGATGTGGTCTGGACATCACAGGCTCGACTGGAGAGCTGTACTCATAAGTACTGGGTATCTTCTTAGGTGTCCTAGGTTTTCGTGGTTTCTTCTCCTTCACAGGAGCGTCTGGGTTCTTAGGTTTTGGCTCTCTCTTCTTTCTCTCTTTCTTAGGTTTATCAACTTTCTCAGTATCAGTTTTAGGTGATTTTCGTTTTTTGGTTTCTTTTTTAATGACGACTGGCGTGGCTACTGTGCTTGGAAGGGTAGAGGTCTGTGGTGGTGGTTGGGCTGTAGTGTCACTAGTGCCTGTAGTCAGAGGATCAACGGTATCTGGTGCAGGTTTGAATATCGGGATTTCCTCTTCAACGTGTGGAGGAGATTCCCAATTAGAGACTAGAGCGGCCATAGTTTCAAGTTGTTCCTCGGAAAGTTTCTTTGATTTCACCTTTTTGCCTCTCCTCTGTACAGGCACCTTCTTCTTCTCAGTAGTCGAGTCTTTCTCTTTCTCTGTTTGTTTTTCTTGTTCACCATCTTTCGGTTTACTGTCTCCTTCATCTTTAACTTCTTTCTTGACTTTTCCTTCTTTTTTGAGGCTGTCTTTACGCTTTTTCCGTGTTTTCGAATTCTTTCTATTTTTTGGTGCTTCATAGTCTGAATCTTTGTCAGAATCCATGTAGCCTACATCTGGAAGCTGAGCTTCGGAAGGGTCCATTTCATCTCCTTTTAGCCAAATATCTTCAAGAGCATCAAGTTGGGTTTCATCTGGTTGTAGAGGCATTATAGGGCGCTTCATTGAAGTCATCATGTCTAAGTCACCTTCAGCCATAGTCATCTCATCATCATCCATAACATCATGGCCAAGGATTGAGACAGCGATGGCACCTTCTGATATACTTTTACTAGCCATTGCTCGCTTCAAATGAAGAGGATGCCTCTTCTTTTTCTTAAGCCCTTCTTCCTCAGCGGCAATAAACGATTCCGGCAGTTCAGTATTGTTTTTATTACATAAAATATCTTGGCCAGAAGGATGAGGCGCAGGAACCATTTTCTCTGGCTGTTCTGGGTGACAACCAATATCTTGTCCTTTTAACCATAATTCATAACGATCTGGTTGGAATCGTTTGACAAAGGTATCCATTGAAATCTTAACCATATCATTACTGCAGGTACATTGAGTAGCTCGTTTGCCATATTCCACCCATCTAGGAGCAGCAAAATTAGTGGATTCAGCACAATTAAAACCATGATTGAAACCGGCATGGTAACCATAAGGAAATGTAATCATAATTTCACCGGCTTCTTGTGTAATCTTATTAACAGGAACTGAATATTGCTTTAGGATTTGAGGAGATATCAAAGTCATCTTGTGTCTTAGGAAAGCCTGGCAAGTTTTAGCTGAAGTCGGGAAGAAACCGGAAGCAATTCTTTCAAACCTTTTCCCATGTTCTGGAGGGATTGCATACCATGTCTTAGGGTCTCCAAAGTGTAGATAGTTTATAGAGTATAAATCCATGTCTTCTGTATGCCATGCAAATGTGGTCTTCCACATACCAAAATAAAGGTAAGCAGTGTTAACTCCATCGATTTCAATACCATAGTCAGAGTTTACGAAGTCTAGGATTGTGCCTAAGCTGTTGATGTTCCACTCCTTGACGTCAGGGTCTGTGATGCTGCCGTTCACGTCGGCTCCGTATATAGGAGCCACATAAGTCACATTCTTCCAATATTTCCTCTCTAAGTCGTCATAGCCGGTGTGACGAGGCGTGCAGTACTTCGCAGAGTTCGCCATCACAGCGAATTGCTTCACAGTCATGGCCTTTTTCTGGATATTAATTTGTTGGAACAAACCTTGCTTGCCAGTTACTACCTGGCATATAGGCGACGGGATCGTCACGTTCAGCTGGTCTAGGTCGTACCCAGACTTACGAGGCACCCACTCCGGCGGAGGAATCACTTTAGCAAGCCCTGCCTTGTGAGCACCCTTCGATTCCATGTATTGGATATACTTGTTGAAATCTTTGAATTCCTCCCATGTAGGGCGGAATACTTGTATAGCCATCCCGTTCGAAGAGACACCAACATCATCACCAGCCACCGACATTGTGGTTTTTATTATTACAAACACCAAAAATCAATCAAGTAAGTTTCATCACACTTCAGTCACTATTACACCATAGTTCACTAAATCTCCACGTTTTTATTGATTAACAACTCGTTATAACATAATGTCTTACAGTTCTCAGTTCACTAATTTAATTAATAAACACGCGATAGACCTCTCGTAACGATGTGAAAACATTATCAGTAAAATGGCCGACACGATCGAGAGATGCGCTTGCAACAAAATCCCTTCACGACAGTCGCGGACTAATAGAAGCTTCGTATGGTGGTTTTTGTCACGTACACACGAATGTTGTTCGACTTTCTTCGACTGCCGATTTTATTTAGCATACGAAGCTTCAACCAATGGGAACACCGGCCACGATTAGATTAGATTTGCTAGGTTGGTACACAAGCACTGTCTATCGTAGTTTGACGTTTGTGAATAAACCTATTTCGTAGAGGTTATGAATGAAATGCAAAATTAAACACAAAACTTGATGAAAATATGATTTGTTTTCAGAAAATTCGACTCACCTGAAAGGATTCTTCAAATTCTTCTACTAAATTACCACTACCGTTCGACGGAGCCGCCATTTTTTATCACATTTATTTCGCCGATGTTTGTTTATGTGCTTCCATGACAGAAATGAACCTTATTTTGTAGGCTGGTGGGTGATTCACGCACATCACTACTACACTCTCATTTTATTGCTATCTCACTCGCACTTACGTTAATTGTATATTCGTAGCTCTTTTTAAGGATCAATAAATTAGGGCTGAAGCGGAATTAGGCGTTTTTGCGATATTTTTTCCGGAAACGATCTCGTCTATCAACTTTAACAGAAAGTTTTCCAAAATATGAATAAAACATTATAATGGATAGTAAACAGACCAAAAAATGTAGCTACTAATGGTTCAATTCGAAAAAGAATGTAAATTGTACATACAAATTGTCTCAAGAAAAGGGCTTCCATTTCAATTCGGTTTTGAACAGTGACAACCTCAACTGTAGGTAGAAATCTTTGTAAAAATGTGTAAAATTCGGCTATTTCATTAATTTAAGTAACATAATAAGGGCTCTGCAATATAGGCAACCTCAAGAAATTAAATGGTTGTCGACCAGTCGCCGTTGCCTGTCGTCGCCGAGTCGCATCGCGCGCCGCATCGTGCATGTGCGAGCGCATGTCAATGTTTACATCACGTGACTGTGTTTGTAAACTTTGAAACGTGAACATGACATTTCAAGTTTGTTGTGAAAATACTTTCTTCGTGATTTTCACTATCTAATGTACCTAGACTTGATTTTCAAAGCAATACTTAGTTCTTATAATACTAATGATAATGTATTGAGATATGTTTATGGTTTTCGGAAATTGTCCGCCTAACTAACTTTTAGATCCGATAATATTAAGCATACTGGTACTCTTTGTAGGGACTACGTTCTCAAGTATAGGTCCGAGCCTTGACTTGCCGTGAGCCTCTGACCGGACAATGCACAATAAATGTTATGTATCAAAAGTTTGAAATTATGCACATAGAATAGCAATGGGTCCCTCCTCCTTTAAAACATTTTTGCTTATTAATTCCGTGAATTGGCGTTATACATGTGACGTCCTGCTTCATCCTTCTTCCTATCCTAAGGTAATTCTATAGGAGGACGTCTGGTTAGGTAAGTACTACATAATTCTTTGAAGTATATAAGGCGTGATATTATTCTACTACAGATAAAAGAAACGAACTTTCATGGACTTTTCATACATTATAAATAAATCCATAAAAACAGACATCTGATTCTGATTCATTTTTTGCAATGCTGAACACATACGTCATGTGACGTCAATGACCGTCGGTCATCAACCTCTCCACCGAGAGCGGTCGTAATCGTAATTCGTAATAATGATAATAGTCAATATCTACGAGAGGTAGTAATGTCATTCATAAACATCTCTTAAATTAATCACTGAATTATGAATCAATTCATTAAATAATACCTGTGCATATTGTTTAACAAAGTATGTAAAAATCGATAAAAACGTTAGTCATGTTGTGTTTATAATTAAAACCCATATGTTTCTACATAAATAAACAATCGAATGTGTTAAGCTTTCATTAAGTTAATCAGAATGCGCTAACATATTATTTTGTTTACATTTTTATCAGATTACATAATCATTGAAAAATGTTGTTGCCAACATAAGAATACTAATGATTTCGATTTAAACGATTTTTTTTCTGAAAGAATAACTAAAAAACCTTTTATCCAAAATAGAAACGTTTCAAAACGATTTTTAATCTATGCAAAAAATGGCTACTGACAACGGCGGTATAACCATAACCTAACAATTTTTGTTTTGTGTTGTGATTTCGTGAAAAATAGTGAATTAAAACTATAATAAGTGAATAAATGTTAGTAAATTGTGTTTAAAATAAGTAAATAATCATGGCTGACGCGGCTGCTAGACAGTTGCAATATGAATACAAAGCCGTAAGTTTTTATTTTGCTAATAATATTTTTGCATAATTTTCCTTGATATTGTGCAATTTCAGCATATTTTTCCATAAAAGTATAGTTTAAACCTTGTCTAAAATCAATATAACGAATAAATTACTAGTTTAATTAGAAGGTTAATGTACAATTTGCGTTTTATTTTGTTCTAGAACTCAAACTTGGTGTTACAAGCTGACGTACGCCTTATAGAGCGTCGTGGTCGTGATGAGGCTACAGGCGAGGTGTTGTCCCTGTCAGGGAAGCTTGGTGGCACTCGTATGGGAGACAGGGCTCAGCGCACGAAGCCTGACAAGACTGAGGAACGAAAAGTCAAGTAAGCAACCTAGTTTTTGCTTATCAGAACTTTGTCATAAAATTGATTTCTGTCTATGTTAGAAATGTTTGTAAACACACTCTAAGGGTAGACAGCCAGCTTTCTTACTCTATTAAACTGTCTTGTTATGATTATAAAACGATAGAAGCACAGAATAGTGTTATTTAGTCCAGACAGACTTTGGCGGTTTCCTTAAAATATTAATGTTCTTTAATTAATAATACAATTTTTCACAATAATTGCAATTATTATGAAACATGCTTGAACAAGTCCCGAGTGAACAGGTTGCTCATAGGTAGGCGGGCTCCATCGTCGGACACACACTACCACACATCGTCGTTTACCACCAGGCTAGTTGGTGGTCAAACGTCAACCTATCAAGTATAAAAAAACGTGCTTAATTGCACAGCGTTACCACAAACACTCCCTGACAAACCAATGGGGACTAGGCTTGTGTAGTTCGCGAACAAACTAGTTCAAAAGAGCGCTCCCACATTCAAAATATGCGAACTAGTTCACGTCATTCCCGACTCCTTAGTTCCTTAGTTCGTATTTCAAAGTACAAGTACAAGGATTGTGAAGTCGTTTATATGTATAGTCTATGGTGTAGACCGAACTAAAAAATACGATAACATTATGATCTCACTTGAAAATTATAAATATTTCATTGCATGCAGGAACTTGCATCAAAACTAGGGATTGATTTGGCTGCCAGTGCCTTCCTAGTTCCTATGCAATTCATTCCAATTCCAAATCCTCCTAGGAGTCGGGAGCTGACGAACTAGGAAGCGATTTTGTTGCCAGTGCCTTCCTAGTTCTTATGCGATTCATTCCAATTCCAATTCCCCGAGGGAAAAACAAAAGTATTGGTATAGATGGCGCTGTGTGTATTGGTATATGTCTGAGTTTGAGTTATTAAATGTCCAATGATGTACAACTACCTATTTCCCTATTGGACGAATAATTTATTTATATATTTTATTTATTAACACTTCTGTATAACAAACATATGATGGCGGACTTATAATAATAGGTTCACAGTTCACACTAGGTTTTGGTAATCAAAAATATGGTAGGCCTCTTTGAAGGACAATAGGTAGTGCATGTCGTGGTGGCCCGGAGGTTTAAGACGCCCACTTCTCATGCATGAGGGTGCGGGTTCGAAACCTACCAACGGCAAGTACCAATGTGACTTTTTCCGAGTTATATGTACTTTCTAAGATTATTTAGACACCACTGACAAACGGTGAAGGAAAAACATCGTGAGGAAACCTGAACTTATAATTTCTAATTATAAGTTTGAAATCGCCAACCCGCATTGAGCAAGCGTGGTGATTAATGCTCTAACCTTCTCCGTGTGAGAAGAGGCTTTGCTCAGCAGTGGGCATTTATAGGCTGTTGATGATGATGAGGTAGTGCATCAACTACCTCAAAATTCAAATAAATGCTTTCTTTAAATTCACTATAATTTTTCTTAACAGGAGACAGAAAAGAGACGAAGCATCCTATGAGTTATCAAAATCTAAAACATCCCGGGTAGCATGGGCTGATGACACTCCTGGAGTCCTGTACAGACCAAGAGCACAACACACAAGGCATGCCTACGAAATGCTCCTAACGTTCATGCAGAGTGCTCTCGGAGACCAGCCGAGGGATATTCTATGCGGAGCATGTGATGAGGTACTGGTTGTGCTCAAGAATGATAAGTTGAAGGATCCGGAGAAAAAGAAGGAGATTGAAATGCTGCTCGGACCTGTCGCCGATGAGAGATTTGCTTTGCTTGTTAATTTGGGTAAGTTTGCGTTCTGTACCATTTTAGTGTTGTTATTTAACATGGTGTTATGTTTACCTGATAGTAGAATAAAGGGAAAATCTTCGACGACGAAAAAAGCGAAACGTCCGCCCATCAAATATAAAAAAAGGGTCGATTTAGTCACGTGTTCGCAAGTCCTATTGTGTATGTTAAGCAGAAAAGATCCAGCCCACATTTTATTACTTCTGAGTAAATTAAGTTTAATGACATAACATAACATCACGCCTTTTATTCCCGAAGGGGTAGGCAGAGGTGCACATAATGCCACTTTACAATGTAACACCCACTTTCACTATTTATGTTATGAGTCTCATGTAATAGGGGGTGAGCCTATTGCCATATATCGGCTCAATTCCAGACTCCGTGCTGCAACTGAGAATTTTTTAAAAACCCAGTAATACTTTGCCCTACTTGGGAATCGAACCCGAGACCCCTTGCCAAGCAGTCCCACTTGCGACCATTCGGCCAATCAGGCAGTGAAGTTTAATTGGGCAGATAATATTGAATAGGTACTGTATCTTATGATTACTTTGTTGGATGTGGGCTGGATCTTTATGGATTTCTGTCTGGCTCAACTGAGGCAGTATTAACTTATATGAAATAAAATGAAAAGAGTTTTATTCGGCATACGCCATGAATGCAAGGAACAAAAAATAACAATACAATACAATTTGATAAAAAAACTAAAAAAAAATTAAACACAAGAGAGTGTGAATAAAAAGATAAAAGCTAAATTATAAAACTAGAAGATAATAACAATAGGTATAACATAAGTTCTGCGCGATATTGGCAGACATGCCCAAGCCGAAAGGGTCGCCAACTCAGCTAAAAGCTGGGCACAATGAGCACCCAACACTAATTTTCAGTTGGCACCCCTGCAGTGACGCACAGACGACACATACTTGTAATCAGCATATTATACCAAAATTTAATAATTGTGTGTGTATCATTCAATTTAAAAATCACAGATTATATTGTGTGCAAAAAAGAATCTAGCAAAAATAATTATGTTAAAATATGAATGTAAAATAAAATATATGGTATTTGTAAAATAAAACAACATAAAACTTCTTTGATTGTTTTTTAAATCTCGCAATAGCATGGAGTCTGGATTGCACAGCATGGCGAGAAATCACAATAAGTATTCAATTTATTAACATCCATATAATATATCTGCAGGCAAGAAAATAACAGACTTCAACATCAGTTCCTCAGCGGAGGGCAACAGTGAGATAGATGAGACTTACGGCATCAACGTGCAATTCGAGGAGTCCTCCGAGGAAGATGATGAGGATGCTTACGGAGAGGTGAGAGCAGTTCCATGTTTTCTTTCTATGTGTTAAGCCGGGAAACGAGCAGATGGATCACCTGATGGTAAGCAATCGGCGGCGTCCATGGACATCCGAAACTCCAGAGGCGTTACAAGTGCGTTACCGGCCTTTTGGGGATTAGGAATTTGAGGATTGTTGGGGATTCAGGGATTGGAGAGATTGTGGAAGGGGTGGGTGGGAATTGGATCTCCGGTAACTTCACTCACACGACGAAACACAAAGCAAGAGTTGTTTCACTATGGTTTTCTGCTCGGCCGTGGTATCACTCCGGTCGAGCCGGCCCATTCGTGCCGAAGCATGGCACTTCCACACTTGGCAAAGGAGTAGGCAGATCTTCCGATGATAAGCAATCCATGCAATCCGTGCCACCCATGGATACCCGCTACACCAGAGGAATTACTAGTGCTTTGCCTAATGGGGATCACGATAAATCGTTGTCTGACGCCAATGCAATAACAACTTTGGTCGAACCAGTCCAACAGTGCCTTATCATGCTCTTTCATCGAACTGTACAGATGTCAACGTCTGTGGCGAGACATGGTACATGTCAACGGATGACGTCATAAAATCCTACATCGCACATATGCGAAGTTTACATTCGATTTAACACGGATAGAAAATCCCAACGAACAACTGTTGGGCAGAAAGCCCGCCAGGCACGAACACCTCGCCTGGGTGCTTACTCTTGAAACCAATCTCAATGTCAATGCAATTTCGATCCAATAAAATGTCAATAATTATCCAATGTCAAAACTATACAACCTCTATCGTAGCTGTTAAAGTAGCATTCAGAGTACGGAATATAAAGCTGAACTCAATACCATTTAGTTCATTAAATATCCACGCAATACGGATGCAATGGGCGCTAGTGTTGCAACTGGAGAGTAAGAAATTTCACAATACCAATGTCGATCGATCGGAATTGGATTCAAGAGTAAGGCCCCTGGTCTGAGGATCCTCCTTTTCCGATCTGAGGGAACTTTCTACTCTGTTCACTAAACGTCCGTAGAAAGTTCTGGTTTATAGACGTTAACGTCTATAGAGAGTTCTGGTAAACAGACGGTAACATCTGTAGAGAGTTTTTCTACAGGAGTAGATAACCATGATTCTCTTCTTATTTACAGGTTCGTGAGGAGGACAAAGAGGATGGTGAGGGTTCAGAGAATGAGAAGGAGAAGGACAGCAGTGCTGACGAGGACAGCGATGCAGAGGGCAAGAGGAACGCTATACATGCTAACGTAAGTAGTAGGGTTCTATTCCTTTTATGTCCATTTTTTCCTCCAGATTCTACTACCTAATAGGCTGGTAAACGAGCAGACGATCCAACAGATGGTAAGCAATCGGCGCCGTCCATGGACACCTGGAACACTAGAAGTGTTACAAGTGCGTTACCGGCCTTTTGGGGACTAGGGATTTAAGTATTGTTGGGAATCAGAGATTAGGTTTGGGTAATTGGGCCTCCGGTAAACTCATATGACGAAATGCATGCATCTCATGCATGAGGACAAGTTCGAAACCTACCAACGGCAAGTACCAATGTGACGACTTCCGAGTTATATGTACTTTCTAAGATTGTTTAGACACCACTGACAAACGGTGAAGGAAAACATCGTGAGGAAACCTGGGCTTATTATTTCTAATAGGGATGATGACAGGGTATGAAAATTAAAAATCTAATCAGTCCATCAGTTAAGTAATGAAAAAATATTAGACACGATTTTTTTATTTTGTTGTATAATCAAATGATAGATATAACAAATCAAAGTTTAGGAGTGGGGGCTAAAACGTCATTTCTACGTATAAAATGTACATAGAAGTGACGTCACGCGACATTTCAAATCAATATATCGTCGAAAGTATTCGTTTCTCTAAAAAAATTAAAAATACGTGTCTAATGTTTTAAAATAATCTATCAAACGGACGTTATAATAAAAATTAGTCATCTACCCTATTATAAGATTGAAATCGCCAACCCGCATTGACCAAGCGTGGTGACTAATGCTCAATCTTTCTCCTTGAGAGGAGGCTATGCTCAGCAGTGGTCACTTATAGGCTGTTGATGATGATGATGATGATATTAATTTATCTATTTTGTCCACAGCTAACCGAAGAGCAATCACAAAAGAGAAGGGACGCGACACTCCACCCAATGGATATAGATGCCTACTGGCTCCAGCGTCGCCTATCCCGTCACTTCCCAGACGCGATGGTATCCCAGGCGAAGTCGTCCGAAGTCCTCACGGCTTTGGGAGAGGCGGCCGATGATAGGGACCTGGAGAATAGGCTCGTTTTGCTATTGGGATATGACTGTTTTGAATTCGTGAAGCTTTTAAATAAGTATCGGTATACAGGTGAGAATTCTTTTGTAGTTGATTGTCTTGTTGGTTGTGTGGTTGTGGTTATCGAGTGAGGATTTCGGGTTCAATGTCTAATATTGAATAAGGTTTCCATATTCGAAAGATTTCGGTTAGTTCGCAATCATTATGAGTGACTACTATATTTGCACGCCATTGTATATGGCGATATATTAGAGAAGGGCCAAATTAAAAGTACCCTTAACCGACGAGCATGCATGAAAAGATTGATGACTGTTAATGAAAGCGAAAGAGGTATGTAAGAATCGTAGTAATTGGCGTTCCTTAGTCTCTGCCTACCCCCATGGGAGACAGGCGTGAAGTTATGTGTGTATGTATGTATGTATACGGCAAACATGTCTCGAACTATTTTCGCTGCTACCCGCTATCTTACATGCTATTGTTTATTGTATGTACGCATGTGTTTGAGCAAATAAACATGATTTGATTTGATACCCGGGTTGGATAATTTCCTACATAGGGTTTATAACACGACTGCCTACTTACCCTTGAAATTAAAAATAAAATCGTGACATTGTGTCTAACATAATTGGGTACTTTCTTTAATAAAAAAAAATATGTTGACTGTCCAATACAATAAAATATTAATACACTTTCATTAATTGATTTTATGACCAACTCAATTTTAGTATGTATTCAGCAAATTGTCAAGAAATAATTATGCTGTTTGACTCTAAAAAAATGTGACCTCACAATACACAATCTCGTGCAAAATTCATAGAAAACTGTCGTTTTTGACAGTTCGAAAACAGTATTGAATTTGACTGGTTGGCAAGTGAGTTAAAAAGTATTTATTTCCTTCCCCAGTTCTATACTGCACGAAGCTAGCGTCGTCTCAGTCGGAGAGCGAGCGCGCCGCCATCAGGGAGGAGATGTCCAAACAACCACATCTACAGAAGATACTAGCCCAGCTGGAGACTGGGAAGGGGGATGACGAGGTAAGGAACTTGTATACTGCTAGTCCAGCTAGCTGGTGACTTAGCAGTTGAAAGTCAAACCATTCAGTTCAATTAAACCAGTCCGGAATAAATAATAGGGTACTTTTTATCCCGGAAAATTTTGATTTTCCCGAGGGAAAACAAAAGAATTCGTATAGATGGCTCTGTGTGTATTGGTATATGTCACATAGGCTACTTTTATCCTTTGGTGACGCGAGCGAAGCCGCGGGTAATAGCTAGTAATTATATAAAACTTATTTATTTTTTCAGACATCACAGCAATCATCCGAAGCGCCCAGAAAGCGTCATAAATCAGACCCTGAGTCGACCTCCTCCACGGGTCAGGTGACGGGGAACCGGAAAGTGTTACAGCTGGAAGAGCTGATGTTTGCAGCTGGAGCTCACTTCATGGCCAACAAACGGTGCCAGTTGCCACCTGGATCCTTCAGGAAGCAGAGGAAAGGTTAGCATAGTCTTATAATATACTAGCAACCCTAGAAAGGATCTAGGGAAGTGGCAACTATCGTTTCTTTTCTTCTCCTCTTTTAATATCTTCTGATTCACTTCGTTGCGGGAACCAAGACAGTTACTTATGTCCCTGGGATGCGCCGGACTTCAGTGTTCTGGTGTTTTTATGATTGTATCTCCTGTAGATCCTGGCCTACTGGAGTTGCAGCGGTATTGGGAGGTTGTGGCGCGCTTGACCCATTAAAAAAATACTAGCGACCCACCCCGGTTTCTTATGTAATTTACGACATCACATTAGAAACCTCTAAATTTATCAGTGTTTCTCTACTATATTATGCATGTATTATACATATAAACCTTCCTTAAGAGTCACTCTATCTATTAAAAAAACCGCATCAAAATCCGTTGCGTAGTTTTAAAGATCGAAGCATACATAGGGACAGACAGACGGCGGATAGCGACTTTGTTTTATATATGTAGTGATAGTGATTAAATAATTCTTTTGTAAAGTACCTTTAAAAACCGACTGCACGCTACTCTTCTTTTGAAGTCGGTTGATTATACATAGCATAACATCACGCCTTTTATCTCCGAAGGGGTTAGGTAGAGGTGCACATTACGGCATTTAATGCCACTGTACAATGTAACACCAACTTTTCACTATTTATGTTATGAGTCCCACGTAATAGGGGGTGAGCCTATTGCGATATACCGAGCACAATATCAGTCTCCGTGCTACTACTGAGAAGGGAATTGAACACGAGACCCCTTGCCCGGCAGTCGCACTTGCGACCACTCGGCCAATGAGGCAATCTTTTTGAACTATAAATGAATTATTATATTTACTTGATCCTGTTCATCATTAGGTTACGAAGAAGTCCACGTCCCAGCGTTGAAGCCCAAGCCATTTGATGAAGGAGAAACCCTCATACCGATAGAGAAGCTCCCAAAATATGCACAGCCAGCCTTCGAGGGGTTCAAGACCTTGAACAGGATACAGGTTCGTTTCTTTTGTCATATTTTGTTAATATGGTACGATTGGTGCAGTGGGTGGACGATGCAATGTGTCGCGGGTTCGATTCCCGCACAGAGCATAATGTTTTTTGTAAACAAAGCCATGTGAAAATCTTGAATGTATTTTTGTAAAAATTATAATTAATATTTGAAAGAATATTCATATTAATAAAAATACCATAACCTATGATAGTGCTCTGCTAAACTATGGGTCTTCTCTACATAAGAAGTTCTGCCATAATCCCCAGACTTGGCAGATATGTTGAAGATTTCAGTTTAAAATACTTTAAATAGATCCAGTTAATAATCTTCTGTCTGTTCTGTTTCTAAGGTCTTTTAGTCGAGTATAGGACACCCATAATGGTCAGGGGTGGTGATTATGACAAAATTATAAGCTACATATGGTTTTATTAAATTTAAGCTATCATCTACTCCACAGAGTCGAATCTGCAAATCAGCTCTGGAAACGGATGAAAATCTCCTAGTCTGTGCCCCGACAGGTGCGGGCAAGACCAATGTAGCTTTACTTTGTCTGCTCAGAGAATTGGGCAAACATGTCAACGATGATGGATCAGTCAACGTTCACGACTTCAAGATGATCTATGTGGCTCCTATGCGATCACTTGTGCAGGAAATGGTGAGTTAATTAATTATATGTCATTAGAAACTAAGACTTTTTATGTAGATGGGTTTTATTTTAATCCCCATACTTGGTGATTTGGTCGGGGATTGTTATTAGTGAACCGCTAGAGCCATCCTTTGTTGTTTGGGCGTAGTCTTAGGATATACTTAGGTCAAAGTACTGGTAATACACATGGTACTATGGTACTATTGAGCGAACTTGTCAACGATGATGGCCCAATCAACGTGCATGATTTCAAGATGATCTCTGTAGCTCCTATGTGGTCAGTTGTGCGGAGATAGTGAGATATTTCATTATTGATCATTATAAACATCATGAGCAATGAAGGTTTGTCATTTTGACAGGTATTTCGATAAACTCTACACATCATTTGGTTGGGGAATATTATAGTTAGATGTATTGTTCCATTCAGCGTTGAATCGGTGTAGAATAAGGACATATTTCGGTTTAATTTTGACTAAATTAAATACATGTTTCATTTTCAAATAGTGTTTAAATGTTCCACCTAATATTCAAAAATTTGTATAAAAATAACATAAACTATTAATCTCCAGGTCGGTAACTTCAGCAAGCGCCTGTCAGCGTACAATCTCCGTGTTTCGGAGCTGACCGGGGATCACCAGCTCACTCGGGAGCAGATTGACGCCACACAGCTCATTGTTTGCACGCCTGAGAAGTGGGATATTATTACTAGAAAAGGTATGTTTTGCATCACCATCAACAGCTCATAAGTGGCCACTGCTGACCAAACGCTTCTTCTCACACGGAGAAGGATTGAGCATTAATCACCACGCTTGCTCAACGTGGTTTGGCGATTTCAAACTTATAATTAGAAATTACAAGCCAAGTTTCCAGACCACTATGAAATGTATTTCTCTATTAGTTTCGAACCACAGAGGGGTTCTTCCTCATGAGCAGACTGCGCGGTCGCGGCGATGTCGCGCCTAGACGGATGGATGAAAGTAGAGTAACGAAAGAAGTATACAGAGCGGATATGAATGGGGCCGTCGGTAGAGGGCGCCCTAGACGGACATATAGTGACCATATTGGCGATATATTAAAGAAGGGCCAAATTAAAAGTACCCTTAACTGACGAGCATGCATGAAAAGATTGATGACTGTTGATGAAGCGAAAGAGGTATATATAGGAATCGTAGCAATTGGCGTTCCATAGTCTCTGCCTACCCCCATGGGATACGGGCGTATGTATGTATTTAACTTTAATGACAGTCCACTGCTGCACTATGAGTCTCCTCTACATAAGAGGGTTTGTCATAATCTCCGCAGGCAGGCGGGTTGGAGGTCGCAGTATAAAAGGTTCAGGTTTATCAGAGAGCGCTGCTGCACGGGCTCTGTCTAAGATGTAGTCTCTTAGTCGGGTATACGAAACCCGCGGGAAGAACAGCGGTGGTGATTACTGTATTATTCTCCGCCATAACCACAAAAAGGCCCAATTCTCCCTTCCCCAATCCTTGAATCAAGAACCATCTTCAATTTCCTGATGCCCAAAAGGCCGGTAACGCACTTGTAACGCCGCTGTTGTTCCAGGTGTCGATCGACGCCGATTGCTTACCATCAGGTGATCCGTCTGCTCGTATACCATAAAAAAGGTGACTACGGTTAAGTTATATGGGATTTCATACAAAATACTTGTACATCTCCCCAGGTGGCGAGCGTTCTTTCACAAACTTGGTGCGCCTGATCATCATCGACGAGGTCCACCTTCTCCACGACGAGCGAGGCCCCGTACTGGAGGCACTCGTCGCCAGGACGCTGAGGACCGTCGAGCAGACTCAGGAGGAGGTAACGAGAAAAATATTATTAATAAATAGAGTGTATGAAAATTACTGACTGCCTCGTTGGCCGAGTGGTTGCAAGTGCGACTGCCGGGCAAGGGGTCTCGGGTTCGATTCCCGGGTCGGGCAAAGTACTAGATTGTTTTTAAAAATCCTCAGTAGTAGCACGGAGTCTGGAAATGTACCCGGTATATGGCAATAGGCTCACCCCCTATTACATGGGACTCATAACATAAATAGTGAAAAGTGGGTGTTACTTCTGTGTGCACCTCTGCCTACCCTTTCGGGGATAAAAGGCGTGATGGTATGTTATGTTATGTTATGAAAATTAAAAATGTAATTAGTCCGTCAGTTAGATAATCTTATCTTATACTATTATATCAAGCTCAAGAGTTTGTTTTGTTTGTTTGTTTGAACGCGCTAATCTCCGTAACTACAAGTCTGATTTGAATAATTCTTTTTGTGTTGGATAGCGCATTTATCGAGGATGGCTATAGGCTATAAAACATCACGATACGACCGGATGTTTCTTCAAAAAACTTTAACTTTTATTTAACAAATCATTATCCTCCCGCGTTGTTAAGCATCGCGGTAACTTATTAGCATCTGTATTTTATTGGATTGGGTGAGAGCAATGACATGGCTCAATTTTTTTAAACTAAACATTGTACTTTAATCAGCAGAATTGTTAACTGTGGCTTAAGGATAATGACGCCGTTAATTTTTTGGTTTTTTTTTGGAGAATTACCCGACCAATGGGAGCTGAGCAGAGCGTGTGAAACCGCACAGAAGTAGCTAGTTAAAAAATATTAGACACGTACGTTTTTATTTTATCGTATAAGAAAACAATACTTAGATAAAACGGAGTTAAGTTTAGGAGTGAGAGGTCGTTACGAATGTAGAAAATCGTGACGTCACACGATATTTCAAATCAATATATCACTGTACAATTACGAACAGAAGGCTCATTTTGTTTTACGGTAGAGTAAAATACACATAACATATAATCACGCCTTTTATCCCCGAATGGGTAGGCAGAGGTGCACATTATACCACTGTACAATGTAACACTCACTTTTCACTATTTATGTTACGAGTCCCATGTAATAGGGGGTGAGCCTACTGCCATACACCGGGCACAATTCCAGACTCCGTGCTACTATTGAGATTTTTTTTTTAAAACTCCAGTAATACTTTACCCGACCCGGAAATCGAACCCGAGACCCCTTGCCCGGCGGTCGCACTTGCGACCACTCGGCCAACGAGGCAGTCGGACGGAAATTCATTTTTATTTATATATACATTTTGTTTTTAATAGGTTCGTCTAGTTGGTCTATCAGCGACGCTGCCGAACTACACCGACGTGGCCGCCTTCCTACGCGTCAAGCCGGACCAGGGACTCTTCTATTTTGACAACTCATTCAGGTAAAATTATTACTTTTTTTATGGCATAAGCCAGTAGACGAGCAGACGGATCGCCTGATGGTAAGCAATCGGCGTCGCCCATGGACACCTGGAACACGTTTTTTTTTATGGGAGAAAATCATCGAATGACTGCTCCCGCCTGGGTGAGGCGGGAGTGAGTGTCAGACTCTTACTGACTAAAAACCACCCCGTTCTTTCTCCTGCACGTCGAGTCGGAGCCCCGGTTACCCGTTAGGTTCTCCGCGACTCCGAATCGGCATCGGCCCTATTGGGCCCCATCTGTGGTGGTCTGATGGCTCTTTGAGGCGCGCGCGGAACGCTCGGCGCCGTACGCTCGGGTCTGTTTCTGGTCGGACGGGGAGCCACCCATGCTCGCCGTCCGCAGGCCCGCGCTGACGGTGGCCGGAGATCGTCCCGCGATCCCCGACGCCCGGTGTGTCCTTCGCGATGGCTGGGTTGCGAGGACGCGTCCCGCCTCCTGCTTAGAGGCGTTACAAGTACGTTACCGGCCTTTTGGGGACCAAGAATTAGATTGTTGGGGATTCAGGTATTGAGAAGACAAGTGAACGCTGTGGTTATTTCACTATGATTTTCTTCTCGTTGGTGGTATCACTCCGGTCGAGCCGGCCCAACAGTGCTGAAGCATGCTCTCATATATTTTTATTATATTTTCAGGCCCGTAGCCCTAGAACAGCAATACATAGGTGTGACTGAAAAGAAGGCGCTGAAGCGATTCCAGGTCATGAACGATATAGTGTACGAGAAGACCATGGAACATGCTGGCAGGAATCAGGTGTGTACACTAATTATTTTTGTATTAAAATATACATTGGAATAAATAACGCACTAGCATATTTTACATTTTATCGAACCCTTTATAATTTGTTTTATAACAAAATGCTCTTATTGTATAGGTGACTAAATGGCCTTTTATACGACCCGTCCCGGCTTCGCACGGGTACAATTTGCATGTATTATACATATAAACCTTTCTTAATAAGAACCACTCTATCTATTTAAAAAAACGGTACCAAAATCAGTTGCATAGTTTTAAAGATCTAAGCATACATAGGGACAGACAGACGACGGATGGCGACTTTGTTTTATACTATGTAGTGATACTATGTAGTGATACGTTACCCATTAATAACCCATCTCAGAACAAAGTTGAGGCATTATCCCAATAAATGCATAATCCATGTACAGCCATTTTTTAATTCTCAAAATATAATTGGGATGATGACAGGGTATGAAAATTAAAAATCTAATTAGTCCGTCAGTTAGGTAATGAAAAAATATTAGACACGTATTTTTTTTTACTTTGTCGTATAATAAAACAATACTTAGATAAAACGAATCAAAGTCTAGGAGTGGGGGCTAAAACGTCATTTCTACGTATAAAATGTACATAGAAGTGACGTCACGCGACATTTCAAATCAATTTATCGTCGAAAGAATTCGTTACTGTAAGAAAATAAAAAATACGTGTCTAATGATTTAAAATAATCTACCAGACGGACATTAAAATAAAAATCTATCATCTACCCTATTGCCCATCCGAGTAAAGAAGAGATCTGCCTCCTAAGATAGGTGGTGTTAAAAGTATTGTCTTCATTTTCAGATCCTAGTGTTTGTCCACTCCCGTAAGGAGACAGGGAAGACTGCGCGCGCTATCAGAGACATGTGTCTGGAGAAGGATACGCTGGGACAGTTCCTGAGGTAAGTTCCGGTGGTAGTTGTATATTGTTATATAGTGCTAGTGGTTTCGATGTAGATGCGCTTGTGGAGGCCCGGCTTCAAAGCCTCGAACACAGGGTAATTGCACAACTTGATTCCCCCTAGTCCTATCCATCAACGTACCACAAGACAATCGGCGAAGCGTCACCGATACATGGTAGATGTCCCACACACAAGCACGAAGCGCTTCGCTTCAAGCTTCCTTGTGCGTACTGCTAAGGAGTGGAATTCTTTGCCAGATTCTGTGTTTCTTGAAGGGTATGACCTGGGTGTCTTCAACGCCTGAGTGAATAGGTTGCTTATGGGACGACGTGCTCCATCGTAGACCGCATCGTGTACCACCAGGCGAGATAGTGGGCAAACGTCGGCCTATTAACTCTTTGAGTACCGTCATTATAGACACAATTAAAGAACAATAGGTTGCGGTCACCGGTGTCCTCGCGGTGTTTGACAGTTTAAATATAAAAATAGTTTATTCTTATTAAAATAGTAGACCCATTTCTCCATAAAATAATGGTTTGCGCAACAGTTTTGAGAGGTTGTGGTGAGTGGTAGATTTCCCAAAAATCTACCAACCTATCCGTAAATCGAATTAAAACTTTTTCCTTGGCAGTTGAGCAAATATTTTGACTAAGTAAGATCATCTATATTGATTATGATTTTTACGGGATAAGCCCGTAAACGAGCTGACGGATCACCTGATGGTAAGCAATCGGCGTCGCCCGTGGACACACGGAACACTAAGGGCGTTACAAGTGCGTTACCGGCCTTTTGAGTGTTAGGATTATGAGGATCGTTGGGGATCCGGGGATTGGGGGGATTGGGAAGGGGAGGGGGAGTAATTGGGCCTCCGGTAACCTCACTGACACGACCAAACACAACGCAAGCGTTGCTTCACGTCGATGTCCAGCTCGTTGTTGGTATCATTCCGGTCGAGCCGACCCAGCAGGGCCAAAGCATGGCTCTCACACACTTAATTAACATATTAAATTTATTTCTTACATCCCTTCAATATATTTTCACAGGGAAGGCTCGGCAAGTATGGAAGTGCTCCGTACAGAGGCGGAGCAGGTAAAGAACCCGGAACTACGCGAGCTGCTGCCGTACGGGTTTGCTATACATCACGCCGGGATGACCAGGGTCGACAGGACACTCGTCGAAGATCTGTTCGCCGATAGACATATACAGGTGAGTTTTTTTTTTGATATATGTTTATATGTACTTCGTTGCCTCGTTGGCCGAGCGTTCGGTCAAGTGTGACTGCCGGGCAAGGGGTCTCGGGTGCGATTCCCGGGTCGGGCAAAGTATTTTTTTTTTAAACTTTGCCCCACTTTAGGATTTACTCCTGTGTCGTTGGTGCGTTTACAAACATACAAGGTCACATACACATGACACACAGACCCGAAACAACAATCTGTGGATCACACAGAGTGTTGTTCCGTGCGGGAATTGAACCCGCGACACGTTGCACGGCAGCCGGTTGCCCAGCCACGTCACCAACCGTGCAGTGAATAGTGTAACATAAGTAGTGTAAAGTGGGTGTTACATTGTACAGTGGCTCTAGCCACCTCTTCAGGTATAACGAGGCAGTCGTCACCCTTGCCCCCCTCCCCCCAGGTGCTGGTGTCGACGGCGACGCTGGCGTGGGGCGTGAACCTGCCGGCGCACACCGTCATCGTGAAGGGCACGCAGGTCTACTCCCCCGAGCGGGGCCGCTGGGCGGAGCTGGGCGCCCTCGACGTACTGCAGATGCTGGGCAGGGCCGGCAGGCCTCAGTACGACACCAAGGGAGAGGGTGGGTACATCATCCTGTAATAATAATATCATAATTAACGTGAACTTTTTTATCGATTATAAAATCGCGGGTTACATCGGGCGACGTCGCCACGACTGCGTACGCTGCTCATGTGGAAGAACCCCTCTGTGGTTCGAAACTAGGGGCCGTTCAAGTATTACGTAAGCACCATGGGGGGTGGGGGTTCTCTGTTTTGCTTATTTTGGATGATATGAGGGGTAGGGGACTCTAGATGATGATTACGTCATCGGTATTTATATACTTTTTTACACGAATGGCAACCCTCATATAGAAATTATAAATTACAAGCAAAGAACAACAAGAGACATTGTGGTATCTAAGAGAATATTAACATTTCAATATAAAAAGATATAATTTAAAATGTTTACGTAAGCAAAGGGGGAGGGGGTAAGATTTTTGCTTACTTTTGCTGACAAGGGGGATGGGGGGTAAATCATTGTAAAAAATCTGTTTACGTAATATTTGAACGGCCCCTAACGTACATCTAAATATATGAGGCAGAAAATTAAAATTTAACATAACATTGCCTTATGGAGTACATAAGCGTTAAAAGAGGGATTCTGCGATTTCAGAAGAAAAATTCATGGCGTCGCCCATGACCCAGGTGGTCATGAGCGTAAGAACACCAGAAGCGTTACAAGTGCGTTACCGGCCTTTTAGGGATTAGGAATTTGAGGACTGTTGGGGTATTCGGCGATTGGTGAGATGGGGAGGGAGTTAATATTTTTGCACACATACACGCTAATTAAATACAAATTTACGCTAATTATAACCTATATTCTGTCCAGGTACATGGTAGACAGAGAATCAGCAGCTCGTCTCTCGCCAAGGGTCCAAGACTTACTCTTCGTGATGGCTGTGTCCAACTCCTGCATGAATCCCCTGGTGTACGGCTCCTATACCCTGGACCTCAAGGGGCTGCTACCCCCTCCTTTCCCCAATCTCTCTAATCCTTGAATCCCCAACAATCCTCGAAGTCCTAATCCCCAAAAGGCCGGTAACGCCTCTGGTGTTCCAGGTGTCCATGGACGACGCCGATTGCTTACCATCAGGTGATCCGTCTGCTCGTTTAGTAGCTCATCTTATAAAAATCATAATCAATATTGGTGATCTGACTTAGTTAAAATATTTGCTCGACTGCCAAGCAAAAAGTTTTGATTCTATTAGCGGATAGGTAGTTAGATTTTTGGGAAATCTACCACTCACCACAACCTTTCAAAACTGTTGCACAAACCATCATTTTATGGAGCAATAGGTCTACTTTTTTAATGGGAGTAAACTGCCACCGACAGTTATTCATGTCCCTGAGACGCACCGGACTGATTATGTGCTTATAAAAATTAAACTTGATACAATGCAGTATATTTCATTCTTATCATACAGCTCGTCATTAGACTAGGTATTACCATCGCCAAAAACTACTACCTGTCTCCCACACCCACGTCAAGACTAACGTTAGAATTTTACGTTGACTCTAAACACCCCAGGTATCCTGATCACGAACCACTCGGAGCTGCAGTACTACCTGTCCCTGCTGAACCAGCAGCTGCCGATAGAGTCGCAGCTGGTCAGCAAGCTGCCCGACATGTTGAACGCGGAGGTCGTGCTGGGCTCCGTGCAGAGCGTGCGGGACGCCGTCACTTGGCTCGGTACGTACTCATACTTGTACTTCTACAAATGTAAGGACTCAAACTCAAAAGCATTTATTTCAATTAAACCATAATTTGGTACTTTTGAAACGTCAACAAATATGAAATATATAATAGTCTGTCAGTCTGTCCGTCAGTGAAGCTAGGTGCTCGTTCCAAAATGTCGATTCGAGTGGAGAAGAACGAACAAGAAACTCCATTCGTTACTCTTTTAAAAAAAAGTCTGTTTTACAGTGCGACTGCGGTAAGGGGCTCAGGTTCCTAGATCAGGCAAAGAATTAATGATTTTTTTTAAATTTCTTAGTTTAGCACGGAGTCTGGAATTGTTGCCCGGTATAGGGCAATAGAACCACCCCTTATTACATGGGACTCGTAACATAAATAATGAAAAGTGGGTGTGACATTGTACAGTGGCATAATGTGCACCTCTACCTACCCCTTCGGGGATAAAAGGCGTAATGTTATGTAATAAATGATATTCCAGGCTACACATACCTCTACATCAGAATGCTGCGTCAGCCGGCGTTGTACGGCATCTCGCAGGAGAAGTTCCAGGAGGACTCTCTGCTCGAACTACACAGAGCTGACCTCATACACACTGCGGCTAGCTTGTTGGATAAGTGAGTATATTTGTTTCTTATTAGGGGTACTCTTTTCATGTGGGTGTTTTTAGCTTGCTTTGTTTATGTAGAGAATGTAATAGAATAATTTATTTGCATTGAATATAGGTACACACGGCTACACATTGAGCTTTACATAACCAGTATAAACTGAACGTTAAATGTCCAGAAAGATGATGCGACGCGATACCAGGATATACTGGTTTTGTATAGATTGATGTGTGGCCGGGTGTACATAATATAAGGTTTTACAAAGGTATATCGTTCCTGGTACATTCTGACTGCTTCATTGGCCGAGTGGTCGCAAGTGCGACTGCCGAGCAAGGCGTTTCGGGTTCAATTCCCGGGTCGGGCAAAGTATTACTGGGTTTTTAAAAAATCTCAGTAGTAGCACGGAGTCTTGAAATGTGCCCGGTATATGGCAATAGGCTCACCCCCTATTACATGGGACTCATAACATAAATAGTGAAAAGTGGGTGTTACATTGTACACTGGCATTAAATGTCGTAATGTGCACCTCTGCCTACCTCTTCAGGGATAAATGGCGTGATGTTATGTTATGTTATCACAAAGGTATATCGTTCCTGGTACATTCTACCATATGGCATGCAAATTTTTTTTTCTTAGCTGGTTACGAGGCGGCGATATGAGGACACGACTCAACAGTTTAAATGTTGTAATTTCCGTAGAACCTTCGTTGCATCAATTTTGGTGTAATGTCCTGATTCAGCTGATCTGGGCCTCGTGACACGGCAATGCCGACACATGTACCTACACCGTGACCAACGGTGTGGGTACATTGGAAGCTAGTCTCAATTCTTTGTGGGGAACATGTTATTGGTAATTGAAAATAGGCTTCATTGGTAGAATAGAGCTTATTAAATACTGTTTGACGTACAAAAAATATTTTTTTATGTATTACTGGTTGTATCAAAGAAGGGCCAAATTAAAAGTACCCTTAACCGACGAGCGTGCATGAAAAGACTGATGACTGTTGATGAAGCGAAAGAGGTAAGTAAGAATCGTAGTAATTGGCGTTCTATAATCTCTGCCAACCCCCTTGGGAGACAGGCGTGAAGTTATGTATGTATGTGGTTGTATCACCTGATGGTAAGCAATCGGCGTCGCCCATGTACACCTGAAACACTAGAGGTATTACAAATGCGGCATGTTTAGGTAAAGAATCTTATAGTACCTCTTTAACTCATTCCTAATTCCTTCTCTTCCAGAGCGGGCCTGATTCGTTACGAGCGCAAATCCGGTCACTTCCAACCGACGGAGTTGGGTCGCATAGCGTCCCATTTCTACTGCACTTATGAAACGATGCAATGTTATTCACAGCTTTTGAAGCCCACGCTTGGTGAAATCGAACTGTTCAGAGTATTTTCTTTGTCGGCTGAGTTTAAACATATAGCCGTGAGAGAGGAAGAAAAACTTGAGCTTTGCAAGCTCATGGAGAGGGTGAGTAGAATTTTTTTAAGTTTTGTTTTTATATTCAGAGTGTCCTTAAAAGCTATATAAAACACTAGCTAATTCGGCGTGATTTCACCCGCTCTGTTCAGCTCCTATTTGTCGTAGTGTGTTGTTTTATAGCCTATAGCCTTCCTCGATAAATGGGCTATCCAACACAGAAAGAATTTTTCAAATCGGACCGGTAGTTACGGAGATTAGCGCGTTCAAACAAACAAACAAAAAAAAACAAACTCTTCCGCTTTATATAATAGTATAAGATAGACATAACTGTTAAAATTGAGATACTTTTCTGTCTACCCCTCCAGAGATTGTTTAATTAAGACGTTGTATGGTGTATATGTTTAAGAAGTTATTATTATCCTTTTTTCCAGGTACCAATCCCAATAAAAGAGAGTATAGAGGAGCCTTCAGCTAAGATCAACGTCTTGCTCCAAGCGTATATATCGCAGCTGAAGTTGGAAGGTTTTGCTCTCATGGCGGACATGGTGTACGTCACCCAGTCCGCTTGTCGACTGTTGAGGGCTATATTCGAAATTGTGCTGCATCGAGGTATGTTGGAATTGTTTTTATTTATCTCTAGCTTTTACAAAAGGATAAAAAGTAGCCTATGTGACATATACCAATACACACAGCGCCATCTATACCAATACTTTTGTTTTCTATCGGGAAAATCAAAATTTTTCGTGATAAAAAGTACCGTATTATTTAATCCGGACTTCTAACTTTACGTCTGCAAAAACTCAAAGCAATCGGTTTAGTAGTTACGGCGTGAAAGTGGAACAAACAAACAAACTCACTTTCCGATTTATAATATTAGTAAGGATAGTAAGGATTTTATCAAAAGACGTAGATGAAAGGCGGACACGATGTCCCCTAGAACCGGCCGAAGCCCCAAACCGGCGGCGGAGTATGTCTGCGCGAGTAATGCTCCCCCGGTACAGACTGAGACGATGCCAGATATCCTCCGATGCGTGTGTGTCTTGCGTATCAGTTTTTTTATGGTATATAGGCGACCCGCCCCGGCTTCGCACGGGTGCAATATGCATGTATTATACATATAAACCTTCTATAAGAATCAGTCTATCTATTAAAGAAACCGCATCACAATCCGTTGCGTAGTTTTAAAGATCTAAGCATACATAGGGACAGACAGACGACGGATAGCGACTTTGTTTTATACTATGTAGTGAAGCCAGTAAACGAGCAGACAGATCACTTGATGGTAAGCAATCGGCGTCGCCCATGGACACCTGGAACATCAGGGGCGTTACAAGTGCGCTACCGAACTTATGGGGATTAGGAGTTTGAGGATTGTTGGGCATTCAGAGATTGAAGAGATTGGGGAAGAGGAGGGTAATTGGGCCTCCGGTAACCTCACTCACACGACGAAACACAACGCAAGCGTTGCTTCACGTCGGTTTTCTGCTCATTGGTGGTATCTCTCCGGTCGAGCCGGCCCAGCAGTGCCGAAGCATGGTTCTCCCGCAGTTTCTATTTGAGAATTTGAAGATAATTTTAGATTCGGGGATTGGGGAGATTGTGAAGGGGCTAATTAGGCATCCGGTAACCTCACTCACACGATGGAACACAACGCAAACTTTTTTTTATAATACTAGCTACTTCCACGCGGTTGCACACGCTCTGCTCAGCTCCTATTGGTCGTAGCGTGATGTTTTATAGCCTATAGCCATCCTCGATAAATGCGCTATCCAACACAAAAAGAATTATTCAAATCAGACTTGTAGTTACGGAGATTAGCGCGTTCAAACAAACAAACAAACAAAAAAACAAACTCTTCCGCTCTATATAATAGTATAAAATATAAGATTTTAGTAATAATTTTGTTATATTTCCTTCCAGGCTGGGCCCAGCTGGTGGACAAGACGCTAGCTCTCTGCAAGATGGTGGACAGACGAATGTGGCAGTCCATGTCCCCGCTACGACAGTTCAGGAAGATGCCGGAAGAAGTAAGTATTTACTAGAATACATGTTAGCCATGTTTTTTTAAATTTATTTAATTATAAACAAGAAAAATTACAATTAACACATTGGATGCCGTGTCGGACAATGATGTCCGACGCTAGCAGAGGATTAGCCTTTTATCGGCAGTTAAAGGTTAAATGACTTAATTTATTTAAATAATATATGTAAAGAGGTCTCGGGTTCGATTCCCGGGTCGGGCAAAGTGTTACTGGGGTTTTATAAAAAAATTTTTTTGTCGTAGCATGGAATCTGGAATTGTGCCCGGTATATGGCTATAGTCACCCCCTATTACATGGGACTCATAACATAAATAGTGAATAGTGGGTGTTACATTGTACAGTGGCATTAAGTGCCGTAATGTGCACCTCTGTCTACCCCTTCGGGTATAAAAGGCGTGATGTTATGTTATGAACAAATTCGTTTGTTCCCCAAAAGGCCGGTAACGCACTTGTAACGCCGCTGGTGTTCCATGTGTCCATGGGCGACGCCGATTGCTTACCATCAGGTGATCCGTCTGCTCGTTTACCGGCTTATGTCATAAAAAATAATTTGGAGATCACAAACCTCCAGTAGTAGGATTTAAATAATTAGAATAATTTATTTGTATGTACTCCACTTGCAATAATGTTTCTTTTTTAATTACTATATTAAAGTAATATTATGCTATTAACTAGATAATAATAATACATTATTATGCTTAAAACTATGAACAGAAAAATAATAGGACTAATACTAATATGTATTTGTCGCGATTTGCTTGAACTAGGTTTATGCAAACTGTGTTTCAAGTCAAATAATTTTTTAATATCTTTTGCAGGTAATAAAAAAATTAGAAAAGAAAAATTTCCCGTGGGAGAAGCTGTACGAACTGGGTCCCAATGAAATAGGCGAGCTCGTTCGAGCGCCAAAGTTAGGCAAAATGATCCATAAATACGTACATCAGTTCCCTAAATTGGAGCTGGCGACGCATATACAGCCCATCACCAGGTCCACGTTGAGGGTCGAACTCACCATCACGCCCGACTTCCACTGGGACGAAAAGGTATGTCTATTTTTTATTTTTTTTAAACAGTCACAAAGCCGTATAATCCTATTACAATAACTGACTAACTGATGTTCATAATTCATATTTTAATTATAATTACTAACGTCACTCTTGACGCGGGTGTGTAATACCCCGCTACAGTAAACTAGAAGGTATTTCAATATGTTTTCTACTCGCCTGCCAAGGGTAAAATCTCTTCATCAAGCCTACGTGTCCACTGCTGAGCAAAGCCTCTTCTCACACGGAGTAGGTTAGAGCGTTAATCACCACGCTTGCTCAATGCGGGTTGGCGATTTCAATCTTATAATTAGAAATTATAAGCCCAGGTTTCCTCGCGATATATTCGTAGTGGTGTCTAAACAATCTTAGAGAGTACATATAACTCGGAAGTCGTCACATTGGTACTTGCCGGTGGTGGGTTCCGAACTTGCCCTCGTGCATGAGAACCGTCTCAACCTCCGGCCACCGCGACATCTCTAGTAGAGCAGACTGTCAACTAGTTTTAACTAGCGACCCGCCCCGGCTTCGCACGGGTGCAATATTCATGTATTATACATATAAACCTTCCTTAAGAATCACTCTATCTATTAAAAAAAACACATCAAAATCCGTTGCGTAGTTTCAAAGATCGAAGCATACATTTTTTTTTTTTTTTTTTTTTTTTTAAGGGGGGAAAATCATCGAATGACTGCCCCCGCCTGGGTGAGGCGGGAGGGAGTGTCAGACTCTTACTGACTAAAAACCACCCCGTTCCTTCTCCTGCACGTCGAGCCGGAGCCCCGGTTACCCGTTAGGTTCTCCGCGACTCCGAATCGGCATCGGCCCTATTGGGCCCCATCTGTGGTGGTCTGATGGCTCTTTGAGGCGCGCGCGGAACGCGACGCGCCGTCCGCTCGGGTGTCGAAGCATACATAGGGACACACAGACGGCGGATAGCGACTTTGTTTTATACTATGTAGTGATGATGTTGATACAAATTAATCAATTGACTGCACGGTTCGTGCGGTGGCTGGGCAACTGGCTGCGCAACGTGTAGCGGGTTCGATTCCCGCACGGAGCAATTTTTTGTGTGATCCACAGATTGTTGTTCCGTGTCTGGGTGTCATGTGTATGTGAACTTGTATGTTTGTAAACGCACCCACGACACAGGAGACAATCCTAGTGTGGGGCAAAGATTTATATAAAAAATAATGAAAAATATTTTATTTATTTATTTATTTATTTATCTATTTATGCACAACACACAGACAGTACACAGGAGAACACATATATAAATATATTGGAGGTACATAGGTACTACATATTCCCGAAGGAATCTCTTCCTGCAGTCCTTCGACAAGAAAAACGGTATATTATTAAAAACGGTAATATATTTTTTTTCTTTCCAGATTCACGGCCAATCAGAAGCCTTCTGGATCCTCGTAGAAGATGTGGACTCAGAAGTAGTACTCCACCACGAGTACTTCCTACTCAAGGAGAAATACTGCAAAGACGAGCACCATGTCAAGTTGTTCGTGCCGGTATTCGAACCCCTTCCCCCACAGTACTTCTTGAGGGTCGTCTCCGATAGGTAAGGTCTAAATTTTATTTGTAGACAATTTAAAAATTATTTTACTGAATCATTTTTAATAAGCCCAATTCTCCCCTCATTTTAAAGTAATTTGGAATAATATATTACAGGTAATTTGAAAACGTCTAAAAATCTAAATTAGTCCGTCAGTCTGTCCGTCAGTGGAGCTAGTAACATATGCCCTTTTATTACAGATGGATAGCAGCAGAGACCCAGCTTCCAGTGTCATTCCGTCACCTCATCCTCCCTGAGAAGAATCTCCCTCCGACCGAGTTGCTGGACTTGCAGCCGCTCCCAATATCGGCACTAAGGAACCCCAAGTTCGAGGAGTTGTATAATGAAACATTCCCGCAGTTCAATCCGGTGCAAACTCAAGTAAGATGGATAACATATTCTTTTTAACGCGTTGAAATTCATCCCCTAAATTTGTTTCTACAAAAGTAGCCTCTAAACATTGGAAATAAGGTCTATAATGTAGTTAGTGGAGAGTCGTCACCGGTGACCGCTTGGGGATGTATGGGTTAATTATTATCAAATTCAAAGGCTTTCAGTAACTCTACATTCACTTTTTGTTTATCTTCACTCCTTTTCACTCTTCCCCTTGCTATCGCCTTCTTTCGTATTAAAAAAAAATCGTATATGAATAATATTTTAACAAATCTCTTCGCAGGTATTCAACGCAGTCTACAATTCAGACGAGAACGTGTTCGTCGGCGCCCCAGCCGGCGCTGGCAAGTCAGTAGTGGCCGAGTTGGCACTACTTCGTCTACTGGCCACTAACCCGTCGGGAAGAGCCGTGTATCTCTTACCCAAGGACGCACTTGCTGACATCGTGTTCGCTGATTGTTATCATAAATTTGGAACTAGGTTTAATGTTAAAGTAAGGAAATTTGTAATTGTACTACCTAGTCTACGGCTTGTTGCGGAGAACCTAACGGGTTACCGGGGCTCCGGCTCGACGTGCAGGAGTAGGAACGGGGTGGTTTTTACTCAGTAAAAGTCTGACACTCCCTCCTACCTCACCCAGGCGGGAGAAGTCATTCGATGATTTCCTCCCTTAAAACAGTGCCTACAGCTTCACCTGCTTTGTTGTTACAGATCATAATTTACCCCTGTTCCTAACTTCATCCCGATTCATCCCTCTTCCCCAATCTTCCCAATCCTCAAATTCATAATCGGCCGGTAACGCACTTTTAACGCCTCTGGTGTTCCAAGTGTCCATGGGCGGCGCCGATTGCTTACCATCAGGTGATCCGTCTGCTCGTTTACCGGCTTATACCATAAAAAATCTGGAGTTATGCCCGTTTTGCTTTCGTAGTTTTTTATTCCAAGAGATAATACAGATGGAAATTAAAAAATATTTAATAATATGGTTTATGAAGCGAAGAGGTATGTAAGAATCGTAGCAATTGGGCTGATGACAGGGTATGAAAATTAAAAATATAATTAGTCCGTCAGTAATGAAAAAAATATTAGACACGTACTTTTTTATTTTGTCGTATAATAAAACAATACTCAGATAAAACGAATCAAAGTTTAGGAGTGGGGGCTAAAACGTCATTTCTACGTATAAAATGTACATAGAAGTGACGTCACGCGACATTTCAAATCAATATATCGTCGAAAGTATTCGTTTCTGTAAGAAAATAAAAAATACGTGTCTAATGATTTAAAATAATCTACCAGACGGACATTAAAATAAAAATTAGGCATCTACCCTATTGT